CTCCCAAGACGTCCCTGGAACTCCCGGCCGTCCGAGCGCGCTCCGAGGGCAGAAAGCTGCTCGGACTAAAACATCTTCATCAGGGTCTTACCTTGAGGTCCGATGTCAGACGTTTCCTGCACAGGAACTCGGTTCTCGGCGAGGAAAGGCGGGAGGCGGCGGCCAGAGGTGCGGGCCAGTCCCCGCGTCTCGCTGAGTGTCCCTCTGTTAATCTAAATAAATAAATAAAGCGTTGGATGAAAATTAATTTCTCCCTCCTCTCTCCCCGCCACCCTGTTGGAATTGATCTGATTCCCTCACCTCTGACCCTCAGCTCTCTCCACCTGTCTTTTATTTTCTGTTTATGCTTCCAGATAGGGGGTGGGGGGGAGAGGAAAGGGTGGGCAGAGGGCACAGACGCGGGCCGGTGCCCAGAGAAACGCTCTGAGGCTGCGTTCAGCCCTTCCAGACTCTCAATAATCAGAGGAGGTGTTAATGGAGGACTCTGCGGTAACTGAACCTCGTAAAGCCCAGAGCGTCCAGCGGCTGGGGCGCAGCGGTGGGGGCTGGAGTCCAGCGGAGCGCCCTGGGCTCCCGGCCCCACAGCCGGCCTTTGCCTCCCTGCAGTTTGTACCTAAAAGATGCTGCCGCCAGCTGGTGCCTGCATAGACGGTGAATGGGCGGTAGCTCCTGCAGGGAAACTAGGCTAAGCCATTGATTGTTCACCCACCGCGTCCCCGCCTTCCCCTCCCGGTCCCTCCCTCACTCTCCGCGGTCCCGGGCTGGGTGTCAGGAACCCAGCACTCTGGGGAGTATTCTGCACTCAAGGTCGGCGTTTGCGACCGGGTCAAGAGAGCCTGGGCATCTCTTCCTCCCAGGCCCCGGCCAGGGGATGGGGGTGGTGATTAAGCTTCAGGGAGAAAACCCGCACTTGGACCCTGGCAGGCAAGGGATCGAGGGGAAGCAGCCAGACCTGGGACGGGGCGGAGGCCTCTTTACCTGGTCTCAGGTTCCCGAGGGGCTGCGTTGCCCCGGGCGCAGTCAGGCCGCGGGAAAGTGGTGGGAGAGCCGGGAAGCTGGGCCTCGGGCCAATTATTTACCCATTCCCCCACCCGGTGCGCCCCTCACTGTTGGAGATGGGGAGGCGGGGGATTACAGCAAGGCTCCCGCGCCGGTGGGGAGGAGAGTATGAGCAGTGAGATTGGCTGCTCCAGGATACTGGTCCGGGTGATGGTGCCGCCCTCCCTACCCGCCCCTCCTCCACGTGCCACCATAGCTACTCCTTGGCGATGCGTGGAGTGGGTCCAGGGCGCAGTGGGCGGGGGTGGGGGACACCCGCTTGCCTCCCAGCCGCTTGAGAAAACTGCGTGGGATTGGGGCTGCACGTGGGGCACATGCGGGTGGACGCCGCCTCCACACCTGCCCCACAAGCTCCACCATACAGTTTAGGGTCTGTAAGGAACAGATTAGGTGCTGCGAACCCGAGCTCCCTGGCTTTCTCTTTTCATCCCAAATCCCGGAATGTAGCTCGGACTAGATCTCTCTTCCTACCTAAACACTTGGCTTCGCTAACTAGTTCCACCAGCCGGTCAGTCCCAACAGTTTACCTTTTAAGCTCCCCCGCCCCTGACTTTCCTCTTTCCGCCCCGTCCTCCTTAGCTCTTTCTTCTGGAATCTCCCCTATCTCGGTCAGGTTTCGCAGCCAAAAAGGGACAGTCCTCCCGGGTTCATCTTCTATGCTCATCAGCGAGGCCATCTGATGGATGGATGGCGATAGCCACCCGAAAACGCTTGGGTGCTTTCAACTCATCCCTGTCCAAACCAACCGGATTTAACCTCTTTGCGGTCACATACCGTTTTAGGTATTTGGTAACGACATGCATTCTACACACACACACACACACACACACACACACGCACACACACGCAGACGCACACACACTGAAGTGCGCACTGAAGCTCCTGCTAGGAGGATGTGGTCGTTAAGGATCTCCCAATTCCTTCAGAGTTCATGATTCCTTGGTTAACACTCTCTTTTATGCCTGTGGTGCCAGGAAGGAGAGCTATGAATCTGTGCATTTTGTGTCATGAGCCCAGCCTCGAAGCTGTTTGTGGGTACAGAGGCCAATCCAGTGCCCTGGGTACCCCAGCACACGTCAGAGCATTCAGAGGTCCAGGGTACACTGGACATTCCAGGGACATCTCAGTCTCTGGCTAAAGATAGCTGCGGGTTCTTCCATAACCTTTTTCTCAGAAATCAGTCTCTTCACAGAGGCTCACAAAAAGGATGTAGACTTTCTCTGCCCTCCATACCCCACTTAAATACCTGACTTTTTTAATAGAGAGGAGGGGGTCGTTTTGGCATCCAGGATTACTTCTTAATTTTGCAGAGTAGTGAAAAAATAGCACCGAGTTTTCACTTCTCCTCCATAGACATCCAATCCACAAACTCAAGGCATGACTTGAGTGTTAGAAAAGATGAAATGGCAGGTGTCAGCTAGGAGTGGGGGGTGATTTTCCTTTTGCACTAGCCAGGGGCTGTGTGATCTCAAAGTGCTCATAGGAAGACAACATGCCAATTGCCATTTGTCTGGTAGTGAGCTCTCTTCCCCAGCCTTGTCTGAAGATAAATCTAAGATCTGCAGATTTCTGACAGTGGAACCGTGTGTGCGGAACAGATTTTACCAATGTCTTTGGAGAACGGGTGCTGCGCTGGAACAAAGACCCACTCCAGGCCCAGAGAGCGCCTCCACTTCTCAGGGCACTGTTTCAAACACACCCTGTTTGGGAGCCTTAAGTTTTACTTGAAAAAGTAAAAGCCCTTCTCTTCCCTGCTCTCTATAAACAGTGGGGGCAGTGCTGCTTCTTGAAGAGAGATGAGTGTGCATCGTGACCCACCTGCCACGAGAACCACTGCTACAGAAATCCGTCTTCACACCTCGCCCTGGCACAAGATCCCCCCGTTTCTGTTGGATCGTTTCAAATAAGAAACAAACTAAAAGTCCATTTCAATTTTCCTTGATTTATTACACTCTGGGGCAGAAGAAGTCTCCAGAAACCTTGAAAGTCGAGCAGCACCAGAGTTGATTTAAACTCTAAAGTCTCTAAGCAAGTCTCTATTTCTTGGCATCCACATGTTTGTATACACACGCCTAGTAAGAAACCTGAATTTTACTTTACAACGTGCGAATACAATATAGCTTAAAGCTCTTGCAGCGAGACCCATTTATGTGGCCATATTGTATTTAATGTGGGAGTACCCGCCCCGCTGCCACCCCTAACGTGTTGTTCACATTCATCCCTCTAGAACTACAGCAACCTCAGCCCTCCTTCTGGCTCCAGGAGCAGGGAAGAATATGAGCATCTTTCTTCCCTAGTCCCTGCCGCAGCCTCCCAGCGGCTCCTTTGCTGTTGTTACCCTCAAGGCTTGAAGCTCTGCAAGGAAGAATTGCTGAGAAGAATTACAAACGTCCCACCTAAGGGTCCTTCGTGACGAACACCCTTTCTTTTTTGGCCAGTTTCCTGCTACAGGAAGTGCACTGGGAGGAGGAAAGAGCTGCCTGGAGGAAGGAGGCAGGAGACATCTTTCCACCTGCTAAGGGGCTTTCTCAGAACAATCTTTTCAAAATGAACTCAGACCCCTTTTCAAAATGAACTTCCTTTCTTTGTTCCCCTATTCTCCAGAAAAAATGGCATTTTAGAATCTTCTCTTCTGAGAGGCTGCTGAAGAAACACTATGACCCCACATAGAAAATGGCCTTGTTAATCTTCAAATCGAGAAAGAAACATGGATCTAGCTGGTTGCTTCTTGACCAAAAAATGGAAAGGAAGCCAGCTCCCGGGAATCCCTACACCTTTCTGGAAAACTGCTTCTATGATCACAATGCTGATCACCTCTCCTGCTCCTCTCAAAGCAATGTCCAGATAGGACAGCACCAGTCCGCAGACACCACTCTTTTACATCACGTTGTAACCCCGCAGGGCTCAGGAGCAGTGTTACTTAGGGCACCACAGGGAGACCACCAGCAAAAGTGGACTGAAGAAGCCAACAATTTGGGGAGACATTTTAATAGTTGACATTTTTAAAAAAAGACATAATCAAGAGGAAAATTAGAACCTTACTGGGCTTCTTTTCACTTGTTTCACCATTAAGAATGGCTTTTATTTTAAATTGAATGTGGGAGAAGGTACCAAAACCTTTGTTTGCTTAAGATTCCTAAAACTCTTATTTGGGCCACAGGCAGAACCTGAGGCAGACCCCTGAGATGTCCAAGGACTTTTCAGATCCCATTGAGGGAAGGCTGGGAGTCAGCTCTGAGCAAAGCCAGTCTTCCAAGTGGGTAGCAGCCTCTTTTTTCTGAGCAGCTACATCTGGTTAGGAAAGGGCTTCCTGGGGGCTGCTGTCCTCATAGGAAGCAGAGAAGGTGTAGAAAGAAGCTCCTGTAAGCTCCTGGCTCAGGTTAGAGACTGATGCCCAGGGGGCATCACCGCAGTGAATGAAATAAGTGTACGGCTAATAAAATGTTCAAAGATAGATTTTCCTAGGAAGTGCCAAAAGAAATACAAGAGGAAAGGGTGGGGCGGGGGGGGGGGAAGAAAAAATGGTCTAAGTGACACGTCTTCGGCGGCCTGACCCTCAAGTCAAAATGATTTAAAGTTTTTATTGAAAGAACAGATGGAAGATGAGAGCATTTCTTGATGCAGGATGGCACTTCTTGAGCACTCATATGCTGCTCAATATATTATATCAATCTCGGTATAGCTCAAGATATAAATAAAATGAAGAATGTACTAAAACTCTTCTATTTGCCAGCAACCTCCTTGGATTGCTAACACTGATGAGAAAACAGTAGGAGAACTGAGGCTAAGAAAAACCAAGAGCTACTAATGTGACCCAGTTGCTACTATTTATTTAATAGAACAGTCATTATTTTCTTTCTTCAACATATGTGTCTGATAATGAAGCAAAAAGAAAAGAAAATAACTATCAACGTGGCATTTCAGAAACACACAAACATTTGTTAGCTTTTTCATTTTATTGATGTTCTTTTAATAAATGTAATCAGGAATATACCATTGTTCAAGTACTAATAACATAGCAATTCTGAACCAGGGCTTTATTTTTTTTTATAACAGAATACAAGTACATTTAGAGAACAGAGATGAAATTGTTGTCAAATATAAAAATATGAATTGAACTGCTTCTTTTTAGATGGGTCTTTAACATTGACTTGACCATATGGACACTGCAGAAGAAATAAAACAAGTTATTATTAAATTATCTAATAATCATCTTGAAAAAGCACATTTCTCATGGTGACAGAAAGAGACTGTTAACAATTTTATATAGGCCATTTGATCTATCAGGTCCTGCAGACTAAGAGAAGAATATTGGCAACCATGGGCAAATGGTCCTAATTAGGGTCGAGGAAACATTTCCTAAATTCATCCTTCCAACTTTAAGAATTTTAGTATCAAAAATCCACTTTCAGAAAAACTTCAAGTCCTTGATTTACAAAAAAAACTCTTATGTATTTGATTAGAAACAGTTAAGGTCACAGGAACATACATAAAATGGAAGGTTTAAGGTTTAATCCTGGCTATAGCTAATACATGCATTTAGTGTCTATTCTTTCATTGTAGAGTGAGCCAGTTAAAGGAAATTACACCTTTTGCACCAAAACATACAAAGTGTTCTGTAAACAGAGGTTGTTATCTATTTATAATCTTGATCCTATAACAATTTACCTCAGTACTATGCCTTTAAGAACTATAATGAAGAAGCAATTCCCACTTAAGCTTTGCTTGTACTAGGGAAAGAGAAATTAGTTTATCTTCATTAGTGAAATAGAGAGGTATCCATTGAAATAAACATTTTAGGAAACACACAGGCACTACATGTGGGATGATTGAGTTTCACAGTTATTTCAAACACAAACTGGAAAAGAACCACAGAAAGAACCAGAAAGAGAAAGGGAGAGAGAGAGAGAGAGAGAGAGAGAGAGAGAGAGAGAGAGAGAGAGAAGGAAGAGAGGAAAGAAGGAAGAAGGGAAGGAGGAGGAAGGGAAAGGGAAGGAGGGAAGGAAGGACAGAAGAAAAAAATCGTTATCTGAAGGAAACCTACCTCTTAATGCTGGGTGAGTTTCTATTTATTCAACTAATAAAGAAGAGGGATATAGTTTAAAACATTCTAGATTTCTTTTCCTGCCCTCTTTGTACTTGCCTAATGAAAACAACTTATTTGAAACCACATGAAAAGTTTTATTGTAATAAAGAGCTCCCATGAATTTCAAATCACAGCATTTCAAGGAACTGATGCTCACAGTGAAACACAGCAACATTCCATTAACTTTAAAGATCCTACACTGGGTACTAAGGACTTCATTGTCATTGGCTAAAGTAGCTTGTGAAAAGTGCACTCCAGGTCTATTTGGCTTTTTTATTTGACTTGTTGTTCAAATAATAAGTATTTATGAAGTTACAGAAGCACCGCAAACTGCTGCTGTAATGCGAGAATTGCTACTCACATGTCTGCAGGCAGAGCCACAACATTCACCTCTTTGCAAGTGGGCAATCTGTGTAAGCACCAAATAGCCAGTAGCTGGATCCACATAGTTTAGCTGGCCAGCCTGAAGTGCAATAAAATGAAACAATTCATTAATCTCAATATTCATCATATCTCCTCACCATAATGTCTACTCATAAAATACTGCAGAAAAATTTTAAACAATATTAAACTTCTTCCCAGCAGTTTTAGTGGCACTTGCAATTAAAGACCAAATGCACTCCAGCATTATACACAATCCAACTTTATGTGACATAAGGAGAAAATATACAGTTCGAGAAAAATGAGAAGTTGATGGAAAAACAAGAACTCCTCTGTACCTAATAACTATGTAGCCACTGCTCTGATATTTTTCATTTGGTTTCTAGGTAACAAGCTTAATAACAGGTGATTTAAATGATTTTAAGAGCTTAAGAGGCTGAAAATGAACTTTCACTCAGAAGTTGCAGTTGGAATTTCAGTACTTAAAATATGTGGATAATGATTTAAACTTACAGAAAAGGTGCTAATCAAAACCAACAGTCCTTATAGAAAAGTATTACCTTTGCCATTATTGAACACTTTCTTTACCTTCATGTGTTACTCCATTGCACATTTTATACTATTTTTCCTTGTGTTATTAGTTGTATTTTTAAGTGAAAAAAAGTATTGTTTTAACATATTAACACTCACTACTTTCATAAGTTTGATTAAAAGAAACTTATTGTACTATTTCAAACGTCAAGGAAGCATATTCTATCTACATTCAAACATGACTTTAAAAGGTGTCTCAAGTACTTTGTGGGAAGGGAAAAGTAAATAACATAACATTTTCTGTGGATTTGGGTCATTTGGGTTCTATTACTTAGCCTTGGGTTTTTGTAGAGGAACTTTCCCACGGACTTTTTACATAACCCTTTTACCATGCAGTAACTGAATGCATCAGTCTTGTACAGAGCCTTTTTCTTTAAAATACACATGAAACTTGCATGTCTTCTGACAAACGCATTTTTGTATGAACCACCAACAACTTCTTCAGTGTCTAACTTACTGGCTGAATATCTTATTCTGGTTGAGGTTTTAACCCAGTATGTTTCATGAATAAAGTGTGTAACGAAAGGGCAGGTGCAGTCGAAGTCTAGTCTCACTCTAAGGTATTCCAGCAAACCTAGAGCAGGGCAGGGCAACAGAAATCCAAGCAAGTCCCAAGGCTGGTCTGAGAGCGACTTCCCAAATCCAGGAGGACCACAGAAGCAGATTACATGAAATCGGGAGCTCTCAGCACTACCTTAGAATGACCGATTGTCAGGACCTCACTTCTTTATTTATTTACAAAGCTCGTGTTTGGAGACTTGAACGAAAAACAAGGAAACACTAGAAACTCCGTAGCAAGCTTCTTTTCACTTTTCATAGCGTCTGGGAGTCTTCTGAGGGCAATTACCTGGCAACCTGGAAGCCAAACGCATTGCCGCTGCGCATGCGCCTGGTCTGCAGCTCTCCATGTTGATGGAGCACCTCTGAGCCTGCTGGCAGCCCACACAGACTTAATCTGTCCTCAGTGAATGAGCCTCACGTGACGGTGGCCACGGACAAAGAGGAGGCAAGGGTGCTAACAGTTAGACTGGAGAGCAGGATGTTCAGCGAAGCGCGTTGGCACCGGGAGAAACCTAAGAGAGCTATCTGCCTCGAGGCTGGAAGAAGGACCATTGTGAGGGGGCTCTGATTTGTCAAAAGAGAGCAACAGCTTGTTATTTATTGGACTTAACTTATGGTCTCCTGGATAGTCATTTAACCTGTGATACTGACACTGATGAAACAAGTGTGGATTTTCCGAGTGAGAAAAAGGTCCTTTCCTTCCCTGGGCTGACTGAAAGTTTCTTCACATGCCACTGGTGTTTGCTCTAAAGAGAATAAAACTTTTCTTTAATATCCACCATATCTACGTGGTGCAGTGTGGGAACACATCACATACGTTATGTTTAAAAGGGGAGCATAAACAAGAACAATCCAAAGCTGCCAGTCGCTTCCTGATGAGCCTTTCTTTAGTTTCCACACTTGAATGGGTCAGACCGACAGTGGATTCTCGGGGCCTACTAACTGTCATTATTTAAGTAAGTCAGTTTTAGGCAGCCTCCGAGATTTTCTTCTCTACGCCTTTGGCTCAAGTCATACCATGTCATACCAGTCCCATCAAGGGCTGGACGCACACACAGCTGATTAAATGGGTTCATTTCACACTGCTTTTCTGTCTTTATGAAGTCAGTTTCTCTTTTTCTCACGGTTTCTTTTGTAAAGGTAATAACATAAAATGTTGCCTTTAAACTCACGCAGACAGTGTTAGAAGGCATAAAGGGAGACCAGTTTAGATGCCGGCACTAACAAGCCATTGTCAAGTCCGCAAAACACGGGAGAACAGCCCAAGTGAGCAGGAAGAATGCGAACACCACATTGTAGTGTCCTCCGCTCCGACGAGAAGGCAGTGGAAACATTAAAACGAACGTGTCAGTGTGTTATTTTTTAATCATAAAAATCGCTGGATGGCTCGGTGTCCAGCTGACAACGCAGAAGAAAACAGGGCACACTTCTGCAGTGACTTTCCGGCCCCCACCTTGCCATGGGTTCCTCAACACCCCCCTCCGCAACACACACACACACACACACACACAGTGGCGGCGGGTCCCACAGCTCGGACGCCGTTCGGAAAACAGATCGCTCATCCCGCAGAGAGACAGGGTCAATCACCCCTCGGTCTGGAACGCGAACCGCGGCAGCTTTTCCCGCGAAAAGGCCGGGAGTGGGAGCCTGCGTGCGCGCGCGCGTCGGAGGCCGAGGCGGGACCGCGCGAGCGCCCGGCAACGTCGCCCTGCGCCGCGCGGCCTGCCGGTCTGGAGAGGCCCGCGCTGCGCAGGCGCGGAGGGGCGGGGCGCGGCGGGGCGGGCAGGAGCGGCTTACCGCGAGGGGCGGGGCGGGCAGGAGGGGCTCACCGCGCAGGCGCGGCGGACGGGCGGGGCGGGCAGGAGGGGCTCACCGCGCAGGCGGCCGCGTGCAGCTCCGCGATTCGCCGCTCCGCCGCGGTTAACTCTTCGCTCCCCGAAGGCCTCGCCGCGGCGTCCGGCCTGCCCTGCCTGTCGGGCGCGGAGCCGCCGCCGTTCCCCTCGTGAGCCGGGCCGAGGGTTAAGCTGAGCTGCTGTCGGAACCCACCGGGGACCCGGGGAGGTGCTGGCGGCGGGGCGGCGGGAGGTCGCCCCCGGAGCGCGGGACCCGCCAGCGCCCGGATCTGCCTGCCCGCCATGGCGGCCGCCGGCCTTGGGAGGCGGAGCACCGGGCGCTGGGGCCCGGAGGGGCGACCGAGGCGGGCCGGGGCGCCGCGAGCCGATCTCGGGCCGCGCGTGGCCGGCGCTGCGTGGGCTCAGGTCGCGCTGCCGGGACCGCTGGTGGAGGCCCACGGACGGGCCTTCTGCCTCCGCCACCGGGCCCGCTGCGGAAATGAAACGGGCTTGTAAGGCGGACAACGAGGTTCTGCGGAGCTGCCGGGACGGGGAAGGGCCTGCTGTTCCCCGTCTTTGGACTTAAATTCTAATTCTGAGCTTTTTTTTTTTTTTTTAAATCCACCCCCAAGGGCTGAAAGGTGGACATTGTTTCTCATGTAAAACTGGACTTGGGATCATTCAGTATAGCCCCGAGGTTTGTTAATAACCACCTTGGGCCTATCCAGAAAAAGCTGAGTGTTTCCAGGTAGTACTCGACCAGAATAAAGGTGGAAGCGGAGCCTTCGTGGCTTCTTTGGCCCACCCTAGAATAAGGGCACACTGAGTAAGAAAACGTGTTGTGTTCATGTTCCTCAATATTTACAAAATCCAAACTAAAACTGTATTTCCTTTCTGATGGATGAAAGTTATCTTGATGTTGTCACAGAATTGAATTTGAGAAAATTATCGCAAGCCCAGGACGTAATCTCAAGTGTTAGGATTAAATTAACACCACCTCCTCTTCCTACCCCCAGTCTGGGTTTCAGGTAAAGGAGGGTACCAATTTTGTTAGTGCCCCTCAATATTGAAGAACTGAGGCAGGAATTGATCTTTGAGAACAAAAGTAGACTCTTCAGTTGTGCAGGAGAAAGATGCTAAGCCACTATAGGCCATCACTAGACGTTTTTTGGCTTCTGTGTTTATCATGTAACACTGTAATCAGATTTTCATTGTCTTAAATCTTAATAGGAGCTGATCGAAACAACCCTCTTGGTTCAGTACAAATCTCAGTGAGTTAATAAGTTGGAATTCCAAATTCTTTGTGTTGGAATAAAAAACTAGGATTTGGAGACTGGTCAGTAATCTGAGGAGAGTTTAAAATCTGGAAAGCGAAGGAGGGACTCTAGGGAAAGCTGTGGAAGAGTGGGACCAAACTCGAGATCACCAAAAATGAACAACTGATATTTCTCACATTCACCATAAGTCAGGTCCTCCTACCAAGAAAAACCAGAAATTGATTTATTGCATTGTCTTTAAAATTGAGGATCAGGATCCACTAATAGGCCATGATATGGATTCAAAGGGTAGGGACAGCATTTTACAAGAATGAAATAGACTAGACCAGATTTAAATAGAAAGTAAATATCTAGGAAGAGTACATATTGTTACATGAAACTTCTTTTAATGATGATAAGAGGGTGGAAGTGACTCTAAAGGGCTTGAACTACAGAGACCTTCTTGGTAACAGAGTAATTCTGTATCTTGACCATTATGGTTACACAAATATACGTGTGATACATTGTTTTATGTCAAAACAATGTCAAGCTATACATACATTGTTTAATGTCAGATTCCTGGTTTTTATGTCAAGCTATATACATTGTTTTAATGTCGAATTCCTGGTTTGCATATTATACTGTAATTATGTAAAGCGTAAGCACTGGGAGAAACTGGGTGAAGTAAAATATAGTACCATATCTGCAACTGCTTATGAATCTATAATTATGTCAAAATTTAAAAACAGTAATTTTATTTAATTTTTTTTTTGAAAGAGAGTCTTAGTCTGTCACCCACTGGAGTGCAGTGGTGCAGTCGTTGCTCACTGCAATCTCTTAACTCCTGATTTCAAGTCATCCTCCTACCCCCAGTCTCTTGAGTAGCTGGAACTACAGGTGTGTGCCACCACACTTTTCTAATTTTTTATTATTTGTAGACACAGGGTCTCCCAGTGTTGTGCAGGCTGCTCTTGAACTCCTAGGTTCAAGGGATCCTCCCACCTCAGCTTCCCAAAGTGCTGTGTTCACAGCTGTGAGCCACCATGACTGGCCTAAAAACAGCAATTTTAAAGAGATGTAAAAGTGAATTTCAGATTATTTGGTAAGGCAGACTACAGAATTAACCAAAACCTTTTTTTTTTTTTTTTAATATATCTTACATTCCCAGTATTGTTTAGATGTTGAATAGATTACCTGCCCCCTTCAATTTTCATTTGATCTTCATACTTTAGAGTCAGTGTCATTTCTCACCAAGTAACTTTCATTCATTATGTCTCTGTTTTAGAAACCCTCCTCAGGGCTTGACCCTTAGCTTATTGTATCATGTGTTCATTTCTCAGATTCTCTGCTCAAAGTAGACAAAATTATATGAAAGTGGAGGCACTAATTCCCACCTTAGAGTGGTGCATACAGTTTGAATTTTATTTGCAAAGTATTTACATTTAGATTTGCTCTAGAAAGAGTCATTTTTGTGCCACAATTCTGTTTGTAATATGTTATATTTGATATATTTTGTAACATTTATCATATCATTTGGGATATTTGTGTTAATATTAAACATGCTTGTTATGTCAGAGGTTGGGGAGATGAGAGAAATGCATTCCCTTATATTTCATTGATACTAATTTTTAAATGGGTATGTTAGGACTCTCTAGGTTGCATGATGTAGATTACACAACTCAGTCTGGTTATAATAAAAGGCATGTGTTTGCTCATATAACCATGAAGCATGACTTGATTCCGGAGTCACCAGGGCTTGGTTTTCATTTTTCTGCTTAGCCTCTTCAATGCTAATTCTCTTTTCAGGCAGGCATTTTTCTCATTGAGGAAATACAGCTGCAGACAGCTCCCATGTTTTCATCCTCTCTGGTCCTTTTCCAAATTAAAAAAAAAAAGTCATGAAGCTCCAGGATAAGAAAAGCCTTTTTTCCCTTCTGAAAGTCCTGTCAGCCATATCTGTATCATGCGCCCATTTTAGAACCAGTCTTTGAGTTTAGGTCATACTTAAGCCATTCAGGGCCTATCCCTGGATCTGCCTGTGGGCAACAAACCCAAACCTGTTGCTGAAAATGACCCCTGAATTAATGCTGGGAGGACAACACAAAAAAGGCCACTGCAGTGTGACTTTAAAAAGCAAAATGCTAGCAGCCCACCCAGTCCTTTTGAATACCTAGTATTTAAATGTTCATCTTTAAAATTTTTTATGTTCCTCTGTCCCCTCGAAAAGCCTTCCTTTGATTTCTCACAATTATTTGTGCTATTTTAACTTCTTATAATTTCTTTACATTGTTTTCCCAACAGATCAAAAATAATAGGGGGCATGTCATTTTCATCTTTTTATCTCCACAACCCATCATGTACTTCTGCAGAAAGTATTATGGCACATGGTGAATAATGAATAATGAATTTTTGAATGGATAAATGAGTCAGCAGTTATTTATTTCTCAAATACATATTCCTAATTACTGAACCAAAAAAAATCACGAAATTGTAATACTAAATTTCTAAACATAGTATTGCATATTTGAAAATGTGTATTATTGCAAATATTTTTTAAAACTAAGTGAAAAGAGATACTAATTCTGAAATCTTAATAATTTTATTATTAAAGTGAGCTATTTTACCGCTAAACAAGACAGATGCATATATTAACTGATCTGATCTAAGCCCTTGAAATGCTACCTTTAATTGACTTTAAGTGTTCCCCTTTTAATGAATTATGAATGTATTGAGCTGATTGTGGACAAATTACTGCTGGATCCACAGAGCTACCAACAGACTTCTTGTCCATGTACTTCTTGTTTTGCACATTTCCATCTGGACACTGATTATGTATTTAGTGTTTTCCAAATAGCCAAATGGTGTGTCAGGACATGTCATGCTCCATGTCGAGCGCATTTTCACTATCAACTCTTATGATTGAGAGCAAATGTTACATGCCCCTAAGGTTGCCTATAGGGAATCTTTGTTTCATTTAATCGGACATCCAATAGCAAACTTTGTTTCACAGAGCTGGTTGTAGAAAATTCTTTTGGGAATTATAACCATGTCTATTTGCAAGCCCAGCAAATCTCTGCTGACTTCACAGTGGATGCTACTCCATCAGTGTTGCATTGCCTAAAGCACTGCTGCATTTGACTCTCATCTTTCCATTTTGTTTTTGTTATCTTGGACAAGTGTAGATGAGCTATGTAATATGAAGTTTGTTTTTTTTTTTTTTTTTTTTTTTTTTTGAGAAGGTGTCTCGCTGTTGCCCAGGTTGGAGTGCAATGACGTGATCTCAGCTCACTGCAACCTCCTCCTCCCAGGTTCAAGCGACTCTCCTGCCTCAGCCTCCTGAGTAGCTGAGATTACAGGCTACTGTGGCCTGCACCATGCCTGGCTAATTTTTGTATTTTTAGTAGAGATGGGGTTTTACCATGTTGGTCAGGCTGGTCTTGAACTCCTGACCTTGTGATCCGCCCATCTTGGCTTCCCAAAGTGTTGGGATTACAGGCATGAGGCGCCACGCCCAGCCAGTCATTCTTTAATGAATGGTAGTCTGGCTTCTACCTGCACTGCCAACTTAAAGTATTGCTAAATCCAGTGCACTTACACAGTACTTCCCTAACTAAACTCCATGTACTTTTAAGGTGGTCAGTTGTCTGACCCTCAAAGCTATGCTCTTGACTTCTTGGACCCCAAAGTCTTAAAATTTGCTTTTTTAAAATACTATTATTTGTCTGACTTTATTTAAAGAACCCTTCTTCCTCCTCTTCATCCTTAAATGTTGATTTTCTTCAGAGTTCTTCAGCAATCCTCAGCCCACTCGTCTTGCTGTATAACACTTCCCCAAGTGCTTTTTTCCGTGCTTGTTTTTTCATTCTATTATGCTGTAGTAATGATTCTTCATCAGGTTCAAAACTTGTGAGAGCAACATACCTATCTAGCCATCTGCCTGCTAGTCATAGATGTTTAAAATTACCCCAAACTTACCATGTCCAAAACAGACTTAATCATCATTACCTTTGAAATCTTACTTTCTCATTTATTTTCCATTTTAAAGGCATGGTTGTCCAATCATCTAATTCAGAGATCTTGGAGTAATTCTACACTTTTTTCACATCTCCCCATTCAGACCATCACTACTGCCAGTTTTGTCT